CAGCACAGCCTGGGGCTGACCTGTGCAGAGCTCTGCAGAGAGGGACTGGGTGCACAACAGGCTGTCCATGAGCCAGCAGAGTGTCCTGGTGGCCAGGAAGGCCAATGGTGTGCAGGGGGCATTGGGAAGAGCATTCCAGCAGATCATGGAAGGTGATTCTGTCCCTCTGCTCAGCCCTGCTGAGGCCTCACCTGGAATGCTCTGTCCAGTTMTGGGCTCCTCAGGACAAGAGAAATGGAGCTCCTGGAGCAGGGCCAGCAGAGGGCAACAAAGATGATGAGGGTATCGGAGCATCCCCCTCCATGAGGAAAAGTGGAGGGAGCTGAGGAAGAGCCAAGAAGAGGTGACTGAGAGGGGACCTGATCAATGTCTGTCAGTGTCTGACGGGAGGGTGTCAAGGGATGGAGCCAGGCTCTTCTCAGAGTTCCAGGGCAACAGGACAAGAGGCAATGGGCAGAAACTGATGCACAGAAAGTTCCACTTGAACATGAGGAAGAGCAGTTGTACTGTGCAGGTGTCTGCACTGGCACAGATTGCCCAGAGAGGCTGTGCTGTGGAGTCTCCYTCACTGCGCATAATCAAGCACCATCTGGACACAATCCTGTGTCATGGGTTCTGGGATGACCCTGCTGGAGCATGGAGGTTGAATGAAGTTGGACTAGGTGACCCATCTAGAACTGCACTATCTTCCAATCTGACTCATTCTGTGATTTTGCCATTTTAGTTATTTATTCATTAATCTTGCACTAGCAAGACCCGAAAGGTTGCACATCTGTTTCTTCCAAAACTGTGCCCTGAAGCACAAATAGCTAACACCACAAGCGTAGCGAATTACGGAAAGAGATGCAAATGATAAATAGTTGTAAGTATCAACTACATAAGAAACAATGCAAAAAATAGCCTTATTTTTACTGTATTTTCGCATTTGTTAATGACTGTATTTAATTTTTTAATTTCTTCTTTTTGCTTCACTAGAATGGTGGACACAATGCAGTTTTGCTTCAACAAGATGATTCAAACATTAAGAACTTTCTGAAACAGGGTTTAATTTGCAGTTGGGGAAAACAAATTTATTTTGTCACATTTTGTTTTACTTACATACCTGAAAACGGGGCTTATAAAATTAAGAAAAGCAATGCCTGTTTAAAATGTTTTATTGCAACACTGTGTATTGCATTTGCTTCTGGCTTACCTAATTATCTTTCTACTGTGTTCTTAGGAGATTCTTAAGAATGAAAATTATAGAGAAGAAATGAAACAGAAAGTCAAGGATGTATCTGAAAAGGATAGGCTGCTTCAGGCTAAGGAATACGAGGAAGGACTCGTTGCTGAGCCAAGTCATACTCAGGTCAAAGGCCACGCATCTGCCCCTTACTATGGAAAGAAGGAGACCTCAGAAGACCCCACGAGCACTGCAAATACCTTCCAGCCAGGYGCCTGGAAGCCACCAGGCAGTGACAGTAGTCAAAATAAATAAGCAATTTACTGGACAGATGCTGTTAATGGATAAATATTTTAACAGACAACATATGCAGCTGTTATATACAAGAGTGCAATAAAGTAGTATCAAAGCAGTTTCATTTACTTTTGCAGAACTATACAAATAGGCTTAATCATGACAAAGTATTGTAAAACATTTCAGGTTTATTAAAAAACAGGATGTGTTACTAAGTAAGTTTGGTTTTGACAGTTGCAGTTCATCAGTTACTCTTGAATTCATAGTTACAAGGTTGTCTATCTAAATTTTCTTGAAGTCTAAATCGATTTCTTCCTTGAAGACTGATTTACTTTTAAAACTATTTTTGGTGTAAAAATTGTAGTCAATACAGTTGCATTTTCCCAAACCTTGGCTAAGCTGTCTCCTCAAAATAAATCCCCTGGTAGTGCCAGTGTGCTTTCTGCTGGCAAGCAGATGGAAAATTTGATTTCATTAACAGGAATCACTGTGACTCTACACTGATTAAGCACTGTACTCATCGTAAAGATGTTCTTGTCACTTTAAACAGTCAAAATATTTGTATGTTTCATTTACACACAGCAATTCAGTTATACTAACATCTGTAAGAGAAGCTAGAAATCTTTGATAAAGCTGCTGGAAAACAACACTAGGACAAGGGACTGTCAAGAATATTTTTTTAGAAAATCAGCTTTTATTTCTGGTGAGTAGAAAGATCTGTGGTCTTCCATAGGTTATTAGATCATTTTGGCCTTCATTYAGATACATAAAATGTGCAGATTATTTGCTTAGATATGATGTTTGAAAACCTCAAATAAAAATAGAGACCACACAATTTTTTTTCAAAAAGTATCAAATTTATTTATGGATTTTATCCCTCATCAGTCTCCTCCCTGTGTTTCAAGCTATGTAGGTATCAAAGGTGGAACACATACATATTTGACAACACTTAATACAAAACATGGAGATTTAATCTCACATATCTATGAAATGCCCAAATGTCATAATCTAATGCTTGCTTTCACCAACAAAATTGAAAGGGGATCAACTTCACACTTACTTAAAGTAATTGCAGTTAGTCTCCCCACTTCTGATCCCCTTTGGTGCCAGCCAGCTCTATAGGTCTCTTCATTTGAACAATAGTATTATTTTACAGTTTTATTTTTAAACCTAATCAAAGAGTAGCTGCTAGAATGCACAACCCTGTGCTGCTATTTAGAAATATGCAAAATGTAAAAAGTTATAATGACTGCCACAAGCTCTTCTGAATTAGCTATGTAGAGGCCACCACAGACTATTATTAAAAATTAGGCTTTGAAAAAATTAATCAGTTCCATTAAAAAGAGATGAATTGGAAACAAGGTTAAAKGATTTTGATGTATTTACAACATAAACCTGACTTTTTTGAGTACGTCAGCATCTTGCACCCTGTAAGGCAGCAGAGTTTCAAGGGCCATGAGAACAAAAATCCTACCTAAACTCAGGTCTTAAATCAAAGGTAGCCAGGTTAGCAAGCAGAACTGCCACCCATTTCTCTTCCCGGTCTCCAGGACACAGAACACTGGGACACCTGGGTCTTTGGTCTCACCCCATTTATGGCTATTCTTTGAGGCATAAAGAGTTTACGAAGGCAGCAACAAATCAGCTACAGGTGGAGCATTCAGGTGATTGTTGGGAAAGACCAAACAACATAGTACTGTATTTTATAGAATATAAGTGCCTTAAGACAAATGAAGCTAGTAAGAACGAGCAGTTTTCTAGAACTTGGGCTGAAGTTAAAGGCTGTTGAAGGCTGGTAGTTCAGGAACAGGAAAAGCTAAGGTAGGTTATTTCTGCAGACAAGCACCACCATCAAAGATACTGCAGCAGCCACTATGGGCACATGCAGCCATATGCAGTGACCTTAAAGGAAATCAGTCGTGTCTGCTACCTAATGCTACAGCTAGTTTATCTCTACAGCTCTGCTCAAGTTATGCCAAAACTTGCATTTCTGTAATCCAGTTTATTATTCRCGTTTTCCCCTAAATTCGACAATTTTAAGACACTTGTTAAGTCATAGTTCAGTTAAACAAAAAATATCTACCTCCAGAGCCACCCAGCAGATACTTTTTTTTAATTTAACATGCAAATTTAGAAAAGCAACCTTCACTAGAATACAAGTAGTAGATTTAATGACTCTAACAAGTGTCACTTGGGCAAATTTTAACACAAATCAGCAGGAAAAAAACTACACTGGAAGTATTAAATTTCATACTTCAAGAAATAACAGGATCAAGTATCAAAGGACAGTTAAAACACAAAATGTACAAGTGTTTCATTTAAAAAGTGGATTCTTTGCACAAGGAAGGCCATTTTTTTCCCATTTAATCCTTCTTTGTTCGTTTGGCTTTTGCAATGTTCTCCTGGCGTTTCTGTTTCTTCTTTAGTTCTCGTTCCCTGGCCTCAATCATTTTTGCAAGCTTCCATGAAAGCGCTGCGCTAATTACGAACAGCGGCGTGAGGGCCAAGATCACAGTTGTGAGAAAGCCGTAGGGGTCCTTGGCAGCCCACTCCACGATGTACTCGGCCCAAGCCTTAATATCGATCATCTTTTCTCGTTTGCTATTGGGAAAACCCTGCGGAATAATAAATAATTTCTCAGTACTCAGAAAAATAAAAGCACACATACACAAGAACAAAAYACAGGAAGTTCCACCTTTACAAGAGGAAGAACTTCTTTACACTGAGGGTGGCAGAGCACTGGAAAAGCCTGCCCAAGGAGGTCATGGAGTCTCCCTCTGAAGATATTCCAAACCCACCTCGACAAATTCCTGTCACATGCTGTAGGTGACCCTGCCTTGGCAGGGGGTAGGACTGRATGATCCCCTGAAGTCCATTCGAATCCTATCAATTCTGTGATACCAAGTACCTACTTAATATCAGTTGTCATTTTTCACTATCAAAGAGAAAGACCATTTTTGCTAGAAGTTAGAAGTAGTGCATACTATATGAAAGTGTGATACAAAGCACTGACCCTACGTTAAAGTTCAATGCTTACAGAATAATTAAGCATTTAATCCAACAGAGCTGCAAACGCTACCAAGAATATGTTGCTAAATGGAAAAAGAGTGCGTTTCTGGTTTTCTGGAAGCAGAGGAAAAGCCAGCCCGGCTGGTTTATCCCTGTGGAGGCGWGGGAGCGCGGGCAGTGCTTTGGGTACCGAAGTGCCGTCAGCCGGGCAGCCAAAGCCCCCGCAGCGGGGCAGCCCCGGCGCGCCCCCCCCGCGAACGCTCCACCGCCCCTCCGTCCCTCCCGGCCGGCACCGCCTCACCTGCGGCCCCGGGCACCCTCCGGGCCTGCCGAGCGGCGCAAGGGCGAGCCGAGCTCCCTGCGGAGAGAACACACGGGCCGTGAGGGGACGGCGGTGTCCCCCCGCCGCCGCACCTCCCCCGGCCGAGCCGCGCTCCCGGCGCCGCCCCCCGCCCGCCGCTGCCCCGCGGTACCGCGGCCCTGGAGGGCTCCGACTCCGAGCGGAAACAGGAAGGAGGCGCCTGCCCCGCCCAGCGCGGCCGGGAGGGAGCGGGGAGCAGAGCCCGCCCGACGCCGGGCTGGGGCTGGGGCTGGAGCGGGTCAGCCGCGCCCCGTCCGCGGAGCCACCGGGGCGGGCACTGCTATCCCCGAGCCCCTCCCGGAGCCACCGGGGGCGGGCACTGCTATCCCCGAGCCCCTCCCGGAGCCACCGGGGCGGGCACTGCTATCCCCGAGCCCCTCCCGGAGCCACCGGGGGCGGGCACTGCTATCCCCGAGCCCCTCCCGGAGCCACCGGGGCGGGCACTGCTATCCCCGAGCCCCTCCCGGAGCCACCGGGGGCGGGCACTGCTATCCCCGAGCCCCTCCCGGAGCCACCGGGGCGGGCACTGCTATCCCCGAGCCCCTCCCGGAGCCACCGGGGGCGGGCACTGCTATCCCCGAGCCCCTCCCGGAGCCACCGGGGCGGGCACTGCTGAACCCCGGAGCACCGCGGGGCGGGCACTGCTATCCCCGAGCCCCTCCCGGAGCCACCGGGGCGGGCACTGCTGAACCTCGGAGCCACCGGGGGCGGGCACTGCTTAACCCAGGAGCCACCGCGGGGCGGGCACTGCTGTCCCCGGAGCCACCGCGGGGCGGGCACTGCTGTCCCCGGAGACACCGCGGAGCGGGCACTGCTGCCCGCGGGAGCTGCGCGGCGAGGAACGGAGGGGCTCGTCAGTCGTTTAAGAAAAAAAGCTGGGAAGAGGAGGTTTCCGAGGTCCCCGGTTGGTTGTTCACGTTGTGGAGTAGCYTGTGGAAGCTGGAATGCCGTTCGCACCAGAACCGGAGCCCTGTGGTGTCTCGGTGCCCTCCCCCKTTTTGGGGCCACCCGGGTGGGAGGAGCGATGGGGAGCGGGTACCTTTTGCCAGTTCCTCGGCAAGATGCCACTTGTATGTCCTGCTCCTTTTGGGACTCCTGACCCGCCCGTGTGGGCGCACCGTGGCTGTTCCCGGCGCTAACGCGGCTGTGCAGGAGCCCCTGGCTATTGCACTGCTCCCCACTGTACTGACCTCAGCGAAAACACTCGGCTGATCTTGGTTTATTCTGAGCCTTTAATATGCTCATTCTGAAAATTCAATCAAAATAAAAAAATTCATATTTTACGTTTGTATGTTGCACAAAGCCTTTCCCTTCTCCTTTTGCGCGGACACGGATGTGAATAAAAACCTTGCAATGTTTCCAATGCAAGGCAAAGTGTATATAAAGGCGTAATTCATAAGAAAATCTTGCAATCACTGAAATTATATTGATCAATTCAGGATCAGTTCTCTGTACCATACCAACAAATACCACAATGGCATTCTGCTTTCGTRTATCTTTTCTTTATGTGAATACTTACATTAATTAACGGGCAGAAAACAGGCAAATAAACCTGTATTTTGTCAAAGAGTTATTGACCAGACACCTGACTAATAATCTAGATTGCATGCAGTAATCTAGTTGAATGTAGTATTTTGCTATGTGGACAATTGCATTATTTGTGCTTTTTTTATTCAAAACTTGTCTCTTGTATTCAGGCTCTTGTAATATCTTTTGAGGATGGGGTAGGGTGGGGTGGGG